TTTTGGGGGGGGGGGGGGGTGATTGTGCACATTTTTACAGAGAGCTGTTGATGACTTATACAAGAAGCTGGATGGCTAAGATGAATTTAATCATAGAGTATTGCATTATCACACGTGTGGATTGTTCATCTATGAGTGGATGACTCTGGAGCTGGAAGTCACAGCTGATAGGTCCCCCAAAAGAGTTGTAGACCTGACAAATGCCCAACCATATGCTGATTACATAGCTATCAATATGAAGCACTTAAAAAAAAAAAAGAGAAGACAACTACATGTCTCACAGAACCCCAAAACAAGGGGTTTCATCCTCATTTTAGGGTGGAGGGCCGAGCCATGCAAATCATTTCACTTTTGCCCCAGGCTAACTGTACATCCCACAACTGCTGGTCTCCAGGACAGGTACAGCCTAAAGCTGCCCTTACACCTGGTGATCCCGCGATCGTACGATAATGGTAAGGTGTATGGGCAGCGTGCGACCACGTATACTGTAAAAGTCCAAGTATCCCATCGCACTCCTGACCGGAAAATGCCCATGCAGCAGGGCGGGTGCAGCAGCAACAACGTATGCCTCCGTCAAAAACGTACAAAATAATAAAGTCACCGGCACTCCCAAGTATTCAAGTCAATAAGTTTATTGACCCAAGTGATAACACCTCTAGCAACACTTCGGGACCATGCGGCCCCTTCCTCAGGCAAACAGAGAGAGTAAGGAAGGGGCCGCATGGTCCCGAAGTGTTGCTAGAGGTGTTATCACTTGGGTCAATAAACTTATTGACTTGAATACTTGGGAGTGCCGGTGACTTTATTATTATCTTGCACATATACTGTAAGATCGGACTACTTTCGTCTCACGAGCACGCTAGAAAACCCGCCGAAAATCATACGATTTTCGGCGGGTTGGTAGCGCGATTGCAAGACGAAAGCCGCACGGGCCGAGGTGGGCAAGCGCATACTGCCCGCTCCCCATTGCAATCATCTGTAAGCCCCTGAGTCAGCGGGGAGGGCTTGCAATGATCGCATGTACGATCTGCCTGTACAAGATGGGCAGCTCGTACGAAATTTTAATCGCTTTACAACCATCGCACAACGAAAGTCGCAATAAAACGCAATAAAACTGCGATGGGCCTATTTAATATATGACAGTTCTGTCTCCACTTATAACAAATCAGTGACTTATGGAATTAAATGCCTATCACGCTTTTTATAAGATTTGTGCAGTTAGTTCGAAATATCAAAGAGTGAAAGGGGATACCGGAGTTCTACATTGTGACAGACCAATGTGTGGTCATGGATAGCATAGATACAAGCACTCATCCCGTCACCCTTGACTGTCCCCAGTCATCCCACCACCGGTGAACGGGCTACTCTCCTCTGTCCTCGCATCAGCTGGCTCAGTGGTTAATGGGAGGACTTTCTGAATGCTTGAAGCATTATTTCACAAATGACTTACCTCTCCAGCTCGTACTCCTTCATTCCCACTTTGGCTGTCTTCATGACCTGCAGGAGCATAACAAAAACTATGTTCACAAGAAAAAAAAAAAATCAATATTATTTATAAATTAGGGCTGCGAAAATTATTAATTCCTCGATTAATCGTAAATTTTTTTGATCGATTAAACTTTTTTTGATCGGTACTCACCTCTCGGCCGGCTTCCGGGTGTTCCGTCGGAGATCCGGTGACGTCACGGACATCGACGTCACCGGACTCCTCCCCCCTTCCCCAAGTGGCTCCGTCGGCTAACGAAGGGAAGGGGGGAGGAGTCGGGTGACGTCGATGTCCGTGACGGCTAACGAAGGGAAGGGGGGAGGAGTCCGGTGACGTCGATGGCCGTGACGGCTAACGAAGGGAAGGGGGAGGAGTCGGGTGACGTTGATGTCCGTGACGTCACCGGACTCCTCCCCCCTTCCCTTCGTTAGCCGATGGAGCCACTTGGGCCGGCGAGTACTTGTTCTGCACGAGCGCCAGCCAAGGCATTGGCCTATACACATACAGCAAAGCAATGAAGTAATACAATGAACTAGGATCACACTAATCCAGCACGTTATTATTCTGAGTTGCCCCACTCAAGCGGCGGCCATATTGAGTGGGGCACGTGAGATTAATAACGTGCTGGATGAGTGTGATCCTAGTTCATTGTAATACTTCATTGCTGTGCTGTATCTGTAGAGGCCAATGTAGTTAGATCTGTATGTGCATTATAATTAATCGAAATTAATCGATTGAAAAAAATGTTGATCAATCAAACACGAAAATTTTAAGCATTACCAGCCCTAATATAAATACTTCCAAGGTGAATACAAAGAATAGGCAAATAAAGTATATCTAAACATCTACTTGTCTGAGCTGCTAACAAAACTCAGGTCAGTTCATGACTAATGGGATGTCCCCTCATAGGTTCACCAAAACAAGCAGCACTTGTAAATTGTTAGTCTCCTGTCAGCCCTCAGCCTTTTCACCCAGCTGCATACAGAGAGAAAGTCCCGAGCACCAGGCAGTAGTGATGGGCTCGGGCGTGTTCGCAGCTCCACGCGCCGAGCCCGCCAGGAATCTGACAGCGCCAATCACAGGCCCCGAGACATATCCTGATCTCTGCAGCTGCGCCTGTGATTGGCGCTGCGGCGCTGTCAGCTTCCTGGCGGGCTCGGGACGCGGAGCTGCGAACACGCCCGAGTCCATCACTACCAGGCAGCACACATATATAAAACAAAAAGTTTGTTTTCTCCATATCAGTCACAAACTATGGTCCCCCCCCCAGCATGTGTAGGTTAAAAAAAAACCTAGGGACACCTATTTACCGTCCACAATCCTACCAGCGCCTCACAATATAGATTAGCACTTTCTTTAGGCATCACAATGATTCCTGCTTTGCAACATCGCAACAATGGCAGACTTGACAGGTCCCCTTTAGCATTACACTGAGGCCGCACTCTATATAATCAGCAAATCGCAAGGAGTTAATGTAATAAATGACCTCAACAGTTGCTATTCATAGAATTGTGTAATACAAGGGACATTTCTATTACTACACACAGAAGACAAGAAGCAAAGGAGCGCAACAATCGATAGTCACATTTCCCTGCAGTCAATACAATTATCTGTGATGTGACAGAAGAAAACAGGAGGACGTACGGAGAGACAAACCATTGTTCATTTCAACAACGGCAGCAGCAGAACAATGCAGAGGTGTTACCTCTTTATGGGCTTCACTGGAAATTCTGTTCGTGTAGCGCAGAACCTCCAGCTCCATGTCCGTCTTGAAGACGCGGCTACAGGAAACAAATAAAAGAAAATGATAAATCAAAATTAAAAAAGACAAAAGTGATTAACTTTAAAGTGTATGTCAGGTCAAAAAAAACAAACATATGCTGCACATCCGTACATTACATGCTCATTTCCCCATGTTTTATTCCTTTAAAAATGCTGTAAGTGCTGACTAACAGGACAACTGGCTCACCAAAACAAGCAGCACTTGTAACTTTTTAGTCTTCTATCAGCACTCAGCCTTTTCACCCAGCTGCATACAGAGAGAAAGTCCTGAGCACCAGGCAGCACACATACAGGCACCTGAGAACAATAACGAGGTCTGGCTACCAGGAAGGAGGTGGCCCAAGGAATGGAGGCTTCATCCCACCCAAAGCTCTACTGTGTCTCGGGGCCTCAGGACCCACAATAGAAATGTATTAAGATTCTGAGAAAACAAAAGTTTGCTTTCTCCATATCATTTA